AAGTAGCAGCGCTGCGACCTGGGGGTCCGTTCGCTCGAGCAGGGGTAAGGGTTTCGCCATCTCGGCGAGCTGACCCGCCAGGAACCGAGCTGCGCCGCTGTTTGGCCCCACGAAGCTACCCAGTAGTTTCATGCCACCTTTAGAGAACGGCACTCCTGGCGGAAGGCAGGATGAGTCAATTGCGCAGGAGCTCCAGGCACTACACTTCTGTGGGTTGTGTTCGAGGCCCAGGCGCGCCAATTTTGTCGTGAAGCATGTGAATGCAGCTACAGTGCGGTCTGTGTCACCCAGGAAGGTGACATCGTCAGCATATGCGAGGCACAGCACGTCCGGGTGTGCGTCGGCAGTTTCTCGGAGTGTAGCGTGTATCCCTGCTGCAAATAGAAGTGGCCCCAGTGGGTCTCCCTGGCGTACGCCGCGTTCGCTTGTCAGTGGTGCGCTGTTGAAATTGGAGTCCAGTAGTAGCTGCGACGGGTTACCGTATGTCAGTTGCACGAGCGGCAGCAGTGGCGAGAGGGTGGGCTCTTGTAACGCGTCGGCGATGGCGGAACGCGAAATGCTGTTGAACGCGTTTGTAATGTCGGCTTGTAGTACCAGGCTGTCCGGGCGGGCATCCGAAAAAGCCCTGGCTGCGTGGATTACTGCCTCCGCCCCACCTGGAACTGCTACCCCGTACTGTAGGGGTAAGAAAAATTCGCGGACCGGGTCTCCCATGATTAACAGGGCAGCCTTGGCTGCCAGCCTGGTTAGGCATTCGCCGATGGCGATAGGCCTAGCCCCTCCCCCCGGCTTGGCGAGGGCGATGAGTCGTGATGCCGTCAGCAGGTTCGCTACCGGGCCTGGCAATTTGCCTCCCAACACAGTGTTGACCAAGGCGTGGAGATGGGTGCTGACCATTCCGTTCGTGATCGCCGCATCGCGTAGGTGCTCGAACGTCATCCCTGAAGGTCCGGCACCAACCCCATTCTCGCACCTCGCCAACATTTTAGCGAAGTCAGCGTGGGGGATTGACAATTTTGACCCCTGTGTTTCGGGCCACGTCACTGCCTCGTCTTCAGCACGTGGGTGCTTCTGTCGCAGCTCCTCCAATATTTCCGGACTGGGCGTGCAGACGGGCGTTGACTCGAGGGCCAACACGGCTCGGCGCAGACTCCCACGTTTTGCTAGGCTCTCTGCGCGGCTGATGACACCAGTCGCATCTGGCTGATGTCTTGGCGGGGGCGGTGTGTTGACTGCGGTCAACGTGTCTTGGTACAGCTGATCCCATTCGCCACGCTGGAAGGCTCGGAGCCGACTCTTGACGCATGGCCAGTTCGGGCGTGCAGGCGAGGTTTGGCGAAGTGTTAGTCGCGGGAGAAACAACAGCAGTCGCCATCCCGTTTCCGAATCGGGGTTTCGTGATAGGTGGTGTAACGGTGTCAGTAGCGCTAGCGAAAACAGCTGGCACAGATTTGGCGGTAAACGCCGCGAAAGTGGGGGCTGACGACTATCGCATAGTCCTGCCAAGTCCCAGTTCGCGATGGCCGCGAACAGGTCTGTCCGCTTCGCTAGCTCATCGGGTGAAAAGTAGCGGGGAATTGACGCCTGTAGGTGCAGTGCCGGACTGGCATTGGCGGCTCGATTTCTCCCATCGCGGCTCGCTCTCATTGGTGGGTTTGAGGTTGGATTCACACCCGTCCGATCGGCGTCGGATGGCGGCAAACCCATCTGTGACACTTGCACCACTGGCTGCTGCACTACCTCTTCCCTTCTCCTTGGTCCTTCTCTCGCCATGCCTTCCCCCTCCGTCTCCTCCTCCTCGCTCTCGGGGAGTGCTTCTTCCATATAAGTGGGGTCGTCCCGCTTGTCTTCTTCATTATTTTTCTCCGCGTTACTTAAAGCCCTTCGTGCCGCCGCCTGATACCCGTTCTCCGGCCCTCCGCCTGTTCCGCTTACGGTTTGTCTTCTCGCCCCGCGGTTTTCCTGCTCCAGGGATGGTGATTGCCGGTGCGCCTGAGCCGTCGCCAGAGCTCGTTGTCGCCTGGTCGGCTGTGGCCGCGACGCCTCCGGCGGAGGCCGGAAGGGCGACCACGGCGATGAAACCCCCTCTACCGCCGGCTCCGACCCTCGTGACAGCAGCCGCTGAAAAGCTTCCTCCCCACGCACCCGCGGATCCCGTTGCCCAGTCTGCAGCACATGCCCCCCTGGTTCCCCTTGTCGCGCCGTCGACGTCTGCCCCTGTTGGGGTTGTTGCTGACCCCCCTGCGCCTGTCCCTGGCGCCCCTGTTGCGCTGAGCGCCTCTGTCCCTTGCTCGCCTGCGCATGCTTCTGCTTCGTCACCGAAGGCGGTGTCCGCCACCACTGGCGAGCCGGCTCCGTTGGTTGCGCCCGCGGCGTCGGGACCGCCCGCCCCTGCTGCGACGGCGGTAGTTCCTGCTGGCCAGCCGTCACGTCCTCCGTCGCCTGACCGTCGTTCGTCACGCCCGCATTCTCCTGCTCCCCATCAGGACCGCCGGTCCTCTCGTCGCCGCCGTGAGTCTCCGCGGCGGTTCCAGCGACACCCCCGCTGGCCTGCTCACCCCGGGGGTCAGGGGGAATGGGGAGGTCCCCGCGCCTATGGGGGGTTGCGCCCGCCTGTGACGATGGCGGATCTTCAGCGTGAAGTGTCGAGGGCGGTTCGGGAGGAGAGGGCGGCGCAGAGTCAGAGCAGTTCGCTGCGCGCCGCGCCCGTCCACGAGGCTCCCCGTCCGGCTGCGCTCCCCCCTGTTGCTGCGCCTCCCCCTCCGATTCAGTCGCCGCCTGCGCTTGCTCCCGCCGCGTCGGCGCCCGTTCCTGGTTCTCGTCTGCAACTGCCGCCGCTTCCACCCGTTGCTGGCGTGGAGTTTGTGGCCGCGGGCGGAGGCTCGCTATCGGCTCCGTTTGCTCTCCTCGCCGGCGCTGATGAGCCGCTTCAGTTCCTGGCGGAGGCACTGCAGCCTCCGCAGACCCGTGTTCCCGAGGCGACTCTTGGACAGCTGCACCGCCTCGCTGACAGCCTCCATGCTCTGCTGCTGATTCAGGTGCTGGCTCATTCGTCGCTTCCGGTGATTCCTCCTGAGACCTTCCTTTCTCGCCAGCGTGACCCTTGCTTGGACGCGGCAGACCAGCTCGCAGTGCTGCTGGCGCCCGTGCTGGCTGCGCCCGCGGAGGGAGGCGCTGCTGCTGCGGGACAGCTCGACGAAGCTGTCCGGGGCCTGAGGCGGCACTTGCGCGCTGGATCTGGAGCCGCGGCGATCGGCGCAAGCACGCTTGTGGTCCGGGAGCTGTGGCGCTCCCTGACGGGCGTTCTTCACGCCCTTGGAGCTCACCGCATGTAGATGCGGGCTCCGCTTCTACTTGTGTCGCCATTGCTGCTTAGGATGTTGTTGATGCCGCCATTGGTTGTATGCTGTTTGCTTAACCTCGGTTGTGTTCGTGTTCCTTGCCGTCCCCTCACGCGCGGCCGAAGGCCGCGCTGTCGAGCGTCGGCCGCCGAAGGCGGCCGACGCGAGCCGCTGGGTTAGAAGGAATGAACCCACGAAATGAATAATGAGACAAGCACCAGGCCCACGGCCTTATATAGCGGAGCTAGGGGCGGCTGAGAGGCTGAGAGGCTAAGGGACTAGGGGTCTATGCCTCTCTCTCTCTCTCTCTCTCTCTCTCTCTCTCTCTCTCTCTCTCTCTCTCTCTCTCTCTCTCTCTCTCTCTCTCTCGCTCTCTCAAACGAGCCGCTGGGTTAGAAGGAATGAACCCACGAAATGAATAATGAGACAAGCACCAGGCCCACGGCCTTATATAGCGGAGCTAGGGGCGGCTGAGAGGCTGAGAGGCTAAGGGACTAGGGGTCTATGCCTCTCTCTCTCTCTCTCTCTCTCTCTCTCTCTCTCTCTCTCTCTCTCTCTCTCTCTCTCTCTCTCTCTAATGGTCCTTGTATTGATATAGCAGCAAGGTACAAGGATGCAGTGTTAGGATGTAACAAACAAACAAAGCTCCAATTAGAGTGATGACATGCATCCATGAACAAATACTACAACATCTATCCTGGAGAAAAAGACCACAAAGTTTCCATTGCACCCTAATTTCTAAAAAATCATGACACTCATTCAGTACAGGATCACAGCAGGGAGTGGGAGCAGGGAGTTGTAGCAGGAACCGAAAGCATGGAGCCTACGTTGGCAGATATGCGTATCACATATAATACGCTAGCGTATTATACGCTGGGTATATACGCCATACGCCATGGCTGGCGTACCGCTGATACGCTAAAATACGCTGGGCGGGCAGGAAAAAAACTTTTTCCCGGGCAGATTTTGCCCTCGAACTATAGGGAGTAGGGGTCGCCATGGCGAGGAAGTACTAAAGCTAGGAGATTTTGAGCTCGACAAGAGTCAGACAAAATGCAAGATGAGAAATGCGGGATTGAATGAAAGAGGAGCTGTTTAGGGATTGAGATGTTCGAACGAGTGAAAGAGGGGAGGTTGGGTTTGGGAGGTTGAGAGGGGTGGTGTGTGGTTGGGGATGTGGGAGGGGTTGAATTTTGAATTTCGAATTGCAGACAGGAGTTGGGCTCTGTGCGAGGTCGAGGGTTCAATTCTCGCTGTCGCAAATTCTTGCAATTTTTTAGGGAGTTTTTTTTTTTTTTTTTTTTTTTTTTTTTTTTTTTTTTTTTTTTTAACCGGGCTCCCCCTGCGTATTTTAGGATTTCCAGGCGTATTAGCGTATTGCGTATATACGCTAGCGTATAAACGCAATACGCCCACCCCCCAAGGGCGTATCTGCCAACGTAGCAGGGAGTGAGAGCAGGGAGTGGTTGCAGGGAGTGGGAGGTGGTCGGCAAGGCTTTGTTTCGTACGTTGTGATGTGTCAACAATGAATCAAGATCATATTCTAGTTTCACAAGGTTCACCATTGTTGCTGCAGCAAAGAGGAATGCAGCCACAACCCTGCATGTTGCTGCTGCTATTGCTGATGCATTCGTTGCACTATCTTCTGCTGCTCCTGGGTTACCATAAACCCCTCCCCGCCCCACTCCCTGCTCCTCCCCTCCCCGCCCCTCTCCCTGCTCCTCCCCTCCCCGCCCCACTCCCTGCTCCTCCCCTCCCTGTCACGATCTTGGCTGCTCCTGCCCTTCCTGCCCCGCTCTCTGCTCCTGGCCTCCCTGCCCCGCTCCCTGCTACTCCTCCCCTCCACGTCCCACTCCCTGCTCCTCCCCTCCCTGTCACGATCCCAGCTGCTCCTGCCCTTCCCGCCCCACTCTCTGCTCTTGCCATCCCCGCCCCACTCTCTGCTGCTCCTCTCCTCCATGCCCCACCCCCTCCTGCTCCTCCCCTCCCTGCTTCGCTCTCGGACGCTCCTCCCCGCTCCCCCAATCCACCACTCTCGGATACACCTCCCCTCTCCCCCAACCCCCCACTCTCAGCTGTTGTTGGATTTGATAACCCCACACCCCCCGAGCGCATGTTTCCATTGGTTCCTGAGGTGCTGAGTCCGTTAAATGCCTCGCCAAATACTTCACGGAGTACTGTTGGGACTGCCTGTTGGACACCAGCACCTGCATCCATCGGCTGCTCTTCTCTCTCCCCCTCCGAATCTGAACTGACGTCCTCCTCGTCGTCTGATACCTCAACACCTTCATTCTCACCACCTGCTGCGTGAGTCGCGCTACCGTCTGCCACCCCCACCCCATTCTGTGGTTGTTCATGTTCACAAGGTTGCCTCCTAGGTTCGCAGAGTACATCCCTATGGTGCCTTATATTGCATGCACTACACATCGCCACATTCACTTGAGCCTCTGCTTGCGTAGCTGTTTGCACACTCATGTGCCCTTCCAGCGTGTGAAGTGCCTCCCACGCGTCTCTCAATTGTTTGCGCAAATCACAAGTCTTTCTATAGTGCCCTTTCTCCCCACACTTCCCACATCTACGCAACTTCCTCCCATCAATCTCACCATGGGACCTCAACCGAGTGTTGCGTGGCCTCCCCAACTTCTTTGGGTATATTGGTGCCTCTATTGTCGTATTTGGAACGACCTCAGTGCAGTCAAGAGTGCGAATCTACGTGCTGTAGAGCTCCTTCAATGCGTCCGAAGTGTAACACCTGTGGATCATGGCTTGAACCACATGTTGGACGTCCGCAAACTCGTTGCCACGTGCCGGCCTGATGTTGTGGACCAGTACCGCAAACATGTGCATACATGGCAGCCCATACTCTCTGCAATTGTAAGGGGAAATCAAATGGGTGTCAAACGGATGTCAAGTTCCATCAAAGGACAAACATCAGGAGAAAGCCCGAAGGAAGATAAAGGTTATGCATGTACCGACAATTCTAACACCAGGTGCAGAATGTTTCCCACAAGTATTTCAAGGATTAGCCTAAACACAAAACTCACCTCGAATAATTACACGTGCACTACGCCATCTCTGGCTTCGCAGCCTCCAACACCACCACACGCTCCTCCTTGGCTCCAGTGTCACGGCTCACATGGTATGAACTTCTGCCAGTCTTCTCCACTTTGTACTGAGTTCCCATTTGACAATTAGCACGAATGATACCTGCTGTTTTGGGGGGGATATCAGCTACCACGGGATTCCCATACAGCTCACGACCCTCTTGCATTGCATTCGCTTGCTGTGTGATGAATGCAAGCAAAACTTGTGCTGGATTGTCCCTCCTCCACTTTTGCATAGATGCATGATGCGACTCCACCGGGTTTGAAGTATAGCACCCATAACATGACGCATTAAACAGAAAGGTAGCCCAATGTGTGGCTAATCCATCCCTCTCCAAGTATTGCTTCCCCCCTGGGCACTCTTCCTCAATTTTGTCCATGTAGCCCCGCAGCACATCTCTGGTCAATGCTGTAACCGTGAGCTCGATCTTGCCATCGAATCAAAATTCCTCACCAAGTGTGTGAGAAAACTGAAACGAGAATGATTGACTAAGGAATGAAAATGATACAAATATGCAACCCTAGAAATGTGTACCCCATATAGGCTACCCCACTATAGCCTACACAACATTATAATTTGACACACCCCCATAGGCAAAGTGGGGGAGAACAAGGGGTCACAAGACCAGTCAAGCAAAGCAGAGCAAAGCTCAGGGTGGATCACAAAGTCACCACACATTCCGAGCACAAGTTCAAGGCCAGAAGGCCAGCTCACATGCAGGAACACATATATATAACAGGCTAAACAAGCAAGAGCAGAAGTATATATATATGTCACAGTACAAGCAAGGTCAAGAAGTGAATAAGTGAGGCAACACAGGCACAAGACCAAGCTGAGTACAGAAGCGCTGATGATCACAAGACGCAAGTGCCTTAGTGAAGATATCAGCAATGTTGGCCTCAGAGGCCACGTACGCAAGTCGCAACTGACCATGCTGCTGCAGCTGACGAGCAAGAAAGTAGCGGAGAGCAATGTGCTTCGTTCTGTGCTCCATGCACTGCTCCCGACACAAGGCCAGCATGGCCTTGTTGTCTACGTACAGCACTGGAGGAGAACAAGGCGGCTCTCCGAGGTCAGTCAGCAGGCAGGTGAGCCACCGAAGCTCCTGAGCAGCCATGGCTCCGGCGTAGATCTTAGCCTCACAACTGGAGCCGAGAACAGAAGACGAGCGAGTAGCCCGCCACGAAACAGAGCCGGAACCAAGGCTGAAGGTGTAACCCTGTGACGACCGCTGTGTAGCCTGGTCGTCAGCCCAAGAAGCGTCTGCGTGCCCAGTGAGGACCACAGGACTCTGCCCTCCAAGCACTAGCCCCATGCCTGATGTACTGCACAAGTAGCACAACACCCTCTTCGCTGCAGCCATGTGCTCTGGTCTGTGTCTCCCAGGAGCAACATAGCGTGCAAGAATGCTAATTGGGTATGCAAGGTCAGGTCGTCTGCAGGTCATCAAGTACATGAGGCAGCCAACAAGCTCTGGGTACGGGCCACTCGACTCTACCGACTTATCCGAAGGCAGAGCTGAGAGCGACTGGCGAGTAGGCAGAGGAGTGGCCTGAGGCGAGGAGTACGTGAAGCCGAAGCGCTGAAGGACCTGCTGCACCATGTGTGACTGAGTCAGGGTAATGGTGCGGCGTGCTCTGTCCCGGGTGATCTGCAAGCCAAGGTAGCTGCGTAGTTCACCCAGGTCTGTACACGTGTGTCTCTTCTGCAGCTCGGACTTCATTTGGGCGAGTCCAGCAGTGTGAGCAGTGGCAAAGACCAAGTCGTCGACGTACACGAGGATGTAGAACGGCGGCAGAGAGGTGTCGGTGCGCAGAAACAGCGACGGGCCAGCAGTAGAGGGAGCAACCCCAAGAGCCGCAAGCGTAGTCCTCATTGTGTCGTGCCACTCGCGCGGTGCCTGGCGGAGATCGTAGACTGGCCGTCGAAGGCTCCACTGGGTGCCAGGAGGGAAAGTCCCAGTGAAGCCAGGTGGACGGCGCAGCCAGATCTCCTCGTGCAGGCTACCCTGCAAGAAAGCAGTGCTGAAGTCAAGGGAGTGAAGCTCATAGTCACGCAGAGCGGCTATGTGTAGCAGCACCCGAAGAGTGGTCATCTTCGGGGTGGGAGAGAAGGTCTGAAAGTAGTCAACTCCCTGCCGCTGACTGAAGCCACGAGCCACGTACCGCGCCTTGAAGACCGGTGGAGAACCTGGCGGCCGCTTCACCCTGAAAATCCACATGCCACTGACGATGTTCGCCCCAGGTGGGGGAACCTCGACGACGTAAGTGCCAGTGGACTTCCAAGAAGCCATCTCTGCGTCCATGGCTGACTGCCACTGTGAGCAGTAGGGACCCTCGATTGCCTCAGCGTACGATCAAGGAGTCGGGATGTCTGGTGCATCCGGGTCTCCCTGAATGAGAAAATGAGCGTGGACACAAGATGAGGCAAAGCAGCAGCAAAATACTGGAACTCCTCCTGCCTGTCCTCAAGGACGTCCGTGCTAAGAGCACACTCACCCCCGACGAACGGAGGACAGACAAACTCAGACTCAGCAACCAGACTAGCGGCGTAGTCTAGACGACAGCGAGCAGCAAAGTCGACAAGCTCAGCAACCAAGGCAGACGCAGAAGTGGACTCAAAGGAAGGGTCAGTAACAAAGTAGTCAGGAGTTGTGTGATAGTAGGACTGGCAGCACGAAGAGAGTGAGACTCCGGATGAGAAAGGACAGAAAGAGAGGAATCTGATGGAGAGAGCAACGGGACATGCAGAGGAGTAGTGGAAGGACGCAGTGCCATCTGGGGTGTGCCTGGGACTAAAGGAGGACGCGGACGCGGAAAAGGACTACTACTGCAAGCAGCACGTATAGGCGACGCACGACGTGACACAGGCTCATGACGCTTAGCAAGACCTCCAGTAGGACCAGTGTAGGGAGAAGGAGCGGGTAGGGGGGAGGCGGGTTGTAACTATGACTGCGCCTGGACAGGCCGTGGACACTCTAAGGGAGGAGCAGGACCAGTGGAAGGCAGGAGACCAAGAACCTTCTCAAGGAGCGGAACGAAGTATGGCCGCGGCCGCGCAGCGCCTCCAGAACCAGCACGGATATCACCAGTACTCCTAGCGGCAGTACCAGTGCCAGCAGCACCTCGAGCTGCAACATTGCAATCTCCAGCACCCTCAGAAGCACCAACGCCAGTAGCACCTCCAGCGCCAGCACCCCCAGCAGCTCCACCTCCAGCAGCTCCAGCTCTAGCAGCTCCAGCAGCACCAACTCCAGCAGGATCGCCAGCTCCAGTACCGCCAGCAGCTCCAGCACCAAGAGCACCTTCAGGCCCAGTAGCTCCTGTACCTCCAGCAGCACTAGCAGCACCCCCAGTCCCAGTAGCTCCACTACCACTAGTGCAGACCAGAGGGTCAGAAGCAACAGTAGCACCTCCAGCTCCTGCAGCACGGCTCCAGTGCCGGGCAAACCACTCGCGCAGCTCGTATGGAAAGGGCAGTTCCCGCCTCGCTGAAGCACTCGAAGGGCCCCCAAACCCAGCACCTCCAGAAGCCACACGAGCAGACCCAACACCCCCAGGCTCCGCACCCCCAGGCTCAGCACCCCCAAGCTCCCTACCCCCAGGCTCCGCACCCCCCGGCTCAGCACCCCCCGGCTCCGCACCCCAAGGCTCCGCACCCCCACGCTCAGTACCCCCAAGCTTAGCACCCCTAGAGTTGGCAGCCCAAAACTCAGCACCCCCAGGCTCAGCACCCCTAGCAGCACTAGAGTCAACAGCTACCTCAACACACTCGACTGCGTCTACCTGGGACACACCTTATGGGGCACGAACTTGAGGGGGGAGAGGGTCTACCGGGGTGGGGACCTGGCGCAAGGAAGAGCGGCGTTGGGGGGAGGGGCGCAGTGCGGTAGGGGAAGAGACGGTAGTAAGGCACCGACTCGTCAAAGGTGACATCCCGGGAGGACAGAACACGGCGCGAGGTGGGGTGGTAAAACTGCCTACCAGGCGTGTCAGGGGGGAAGCCAAGGAAGACGCAGGGAACAGCATGGGGGGACAGCTTGTCCGCAGACAAGCCGTGGACAAACGGCCGAGATCCCCAGACACGATACGCAGACGCATCGCCAACCTTCCACGTCCACCGCAGGGTGGGGGAGGTCTCTGGCAAGAAGACCCGGGGCTGAAGAATGATCTGATGCGCTGCGTACTGAACCGCAAACGGCCACAGAAAATGGGGGCAGCCGCATGGATCATAGACATACGAGCGACGTCCATGACCATGCCAATGCGGCGCTCAGCAATCCCATTTTGCTGTGGATTGGCCGGAAGCGTGAAGGTCTGGCGGATGCCCTGTGCCCGACAGAAGGTTTCCAAACGGGCAGAGGAAAACTCCCCGCCTCTATCAGAGTGCAGACGCAGAACAGGAAAGTCCGAGCCAGAACTCTCTCTGAGCTGGAGACGAGCTGCGCAGATCTAGTCGATCAACACTTCACTGACATCACACTTGCTGCGCAAGGGGACCA